GGCGCTGGGTGCGTTTTCCTAAGCGATGACACAGCCTCCCTTCTCCTTGAAGGGGTTCTTGTCCTCGGGAACCCCCTTCACCAGCGGGTCCTCGCCCGACCGCTCCTCGATGTAGTTCTTGATCTCTTCGGAGCACTTGGAGACCTCGAGTGAAAGAAGAGAGAAGTGGCTGCGGTACGGCCGGTACGGCCGGAGCTCACCGGGCACGTCAGAACAGCAAGCCAGTGAATTCACATCCTTCTTTTATTTACCTTCCCATCAAATATAAAAGATCTGACCAGAGAGCCCGCACTAAGCATGTGCAGACTTAGCTTCCTTCCACTTTTTCACAGCCTGCTATTCACAGAACATGTGAGTATCACTGGGAATGTATATGTCATTCGGAACAGCAGTTGCTGCATAGTTAAACATGCATTTTTTTAAATTAGCCAATATGGTTTTATTAAGCTGCAGATCACACTCTCCCTCGGCATCAGCATGACTTACGGTCAATGGATTCAGCATCAGTAACTTTCAATTCAATTTCAAAGTATTTATGGCCTTACGTGTTTTTCCCAAACAAAACATTCAGTAATGATTTTTCAGTGGCAATACAAATTCTCACCTTGTGGTTATGTAATAGCAACCATGCGTCTTGAATGGGAGTAAAGACCTGACTAGGAAAGACAATTTACTTACAGGTTATCTGGGGTTATTTCGAACAATGGTTAATAAAACAGCCTACTGTATTATGAGAGAACATAACATGCATGACACTTTGCATGACATTCATAGCAAACTAGCACTGATGTAGGTAAGCCTGCACAGAACCCGCCTGTGAAGAAGAAATGGGTTTAGTTTGTGTTCACTGAGACAGGAGCACACGCAGCACGTGTAGTAACAGGGTCTGCGGAGCCTGAGGGTGCACAAGCAAACCCCACGAGTTCCAGAAGACCCTTGTCCATGCACATCTCTCGTTTCCCTTCCCTACGTCAACAGAAACTGTCCTTAGGTGCTCGAATACCTGACATGTCTGAGGACACGCTCCCGCCTCTGTCCCCACCTCCTCCCTTCCTACCCGTAATCCCTGCAGAGGCACAGCAGTGCAGAGTCAGCAGCAGGAACCAGCTGTTGGCCAGTAGGCTACTTGATGACTAGTATTTCTAATTTAAGGCCCCTTGCCTTCTTTGTTAATCATATTTTACTCCATAGGTAAAATTATGACAAGAGAACCAAATAATTTACCTGCTGTATCCCAGACCAACAGAGCATGGCCTGTGCAAAATTAAGCTTTAAGCCATCAGAAAGAACTCAGAGTTAATTCCCAATTAAACAGTGCATAAAATGAGGTCTACCTACCTCTAGCTGCCTTACAGCAAAAAAGAATTTGGACCTACGAATCCCATTACACGTGCCTTGCTCTTCTGTGCCTTGCAAACCCTGTTAATTCAAATTGGGGCACCTTATGCCATAGTAAAGTTTTGCTCCAAAGGATATGCAGGACCAGGGTTTGTTTTACTTCAGTCAGCGCTATCAGGATCTTTTTCACATACAAGAAAAAGATGTCTGCTTAAATACACATGCAGACATTTTTATTCATTCAAAAAATGATTCAAAAGGCTATTTCCTCTTTGTGCTGTAAAGGTACAGGAAGAGGTCAAGAAAACCTTGGCTAAATGTTTTTACTTTTGGTGACAACAGAAGCGTGTCTTCTGCATTTCCCTGTTCCTGTAACACCCATACAGGTACCAGGGGACTGTGACAACTACAACACAGATTTCATTCTCACAGTGAAGCTTCTGTTAAAATGCACTGGTAAAATTGAGGATGTTGTCTGTGTTTTACAACAGGTGATTTGAAAATATCCAGTTCCCTAAAGTGATCAGCCTTTTGGTTTATTCTGAAAATTTAGGCAAGAATTTTTAATTATTGTAATTAAGAAAATAAAAATCTGTACATCCTACAGAGTATATTTCAGTTGCTTGGGAACTCTCCAAGGGATGAGATAGATATCTATAGTACTTGGATGTGGAGCCCTCAATACTGCTGGAGCTTTAGACTATACTGTAACATATACAATCACTGATACCTAACTGACAGCTAAAATATAACTGTGGCTTTCTTATTTTCTGGGCTAAACACCTAGACCTGGAATGTAATTAGCATGACTAATGCCACTGATTCCCACATATAAATGTATTTTTAGTCCTAACTAGAAGCGTTTATTTAGATGTAGTTTGCTGCTGCTGGCATGCAGACTAAAAAAGAAAAAAAAAGTGTTAGTTTTATCATGGAGCAAAATCAGTTCTGCATGTCTTTCATCTAGAGAAGATGTGTTTCATTGGAAACTACTTCACCTGTGGAAAGGAACAATCAGCGTACATGACTAAAAGTACAACGCTTCTGTCGGACAAGGCTGGATGGATCACGGCGCTGCACCAGCAGTCCTTCGGCTCCTGCCCTCCGCCCGGGCACCGCACAGCCAGTGGAGCGGGGGAGCGGTGCCGG